GTTACTTTTTTTTTTTTTTAGGTCTAGTTCAGCTTGAAAAGATACAGCTTTGTATGAAATGCCATATGTTGCCTGATGAAGCTTTCCTTTAAGGTTGTACTTTATGAATTTGCGTAAGCCTGTGAAAAGGAGCAAAAACAAATGCTTGGATCTGGTGAGTCAGAGAAAATGTTTTTTAACTGGATCATCTCACTGCCTTTTCTTTTCTTGCCAGATGCAGTTACAGCAGAATAAATTCAATTCACGGATTTCTGTCTTCCTCTGGATCTTTGGATCAGTTCTAACTCCCACCCAGCCTCATTCATTGCTTCTGATGATGGTATCCTGAGCACCTGCCGTGAGCAAAACTGTTCTTACATCATCTTACGAACACAGTGACTTCAAGCATGTGAAATCATGAGGTTAATACCATACCCAAGGCTTCAAACAAGGCCCTTTCCAGGGGTCTTGGCTGAATTTTTGAAAATGCCATGGTAATTTCTAGTTCTTGATCAACACAAGAATTACAAAGGTAGAAAGTATTCTGCCATACAGGAACGTGAGAGAATGGTCCAGCAGAGCAGCAGTCTGAATGGGGGAAGTCAGAACCACAGCTTAAATTACTCTTACCTTAGTTTTGTTTTTGCTCTGTATAAAATGGTAGTGAATATATTTGTTCTGCATTAGCTACTTGGGATAATAAGCTTTTGGAGGCACAGCTTTTACCATATCTGATGTATTTCACCTGCTAGTGTTTGCCACATTGACACCTTTTTTTGGTATAAAGTATGAAAAATTGAAAATCAAATCAGAATGGGGCAAGCCTGAAGATATCCCAAGTATGGACTAACAACCAAATTCCCATTCTTCTGCTTTCAATCCACATCATAGAATCATAGAATTGCTCAGGTTGGAAAAGACCTTAAAGATGATCGAGTCCAACCACAACCTAACCATACTACCTAACTAACTAACAACCCTCTGCTAAATCATGTCCCTGAGCAAATGTATAACACCGTGGCAGTAGTAGGATGGGTAATGAAAACTGAACTCAGAAATTGGAGTTATCCAGGGAGAAAGCAAAATTTCAGGAGTTTAATGCACTTTAATCTGGCACTGAGTAATTTTTGCCTTGATCTTAAAATCATCACATTTGGGATGATATAAAAATAGGGATTACACACACCCATCAGTCTGAACCTCAATAGCACATAATGTTTTAAAAGAAATTTTAACTGAAAGCATAATTAAAGACAATGGAAAACATGGCAGGAGTTTCCCAAGGGTGGATTACAGCCACCCCTTGTAATGGGGCTGGTGGGAAGAAAAGTTCGTGCTGAAACGGAGAACATTTGAAAGTCTGCAGTGAGAGTTCTTCTGGGCAATACTCATCTCTGTTTCTGTTATTGCCCTTTGAAAAAAAACACAGAAGCATGATAATGATGTTTGATAATGATTAAGCCACATCATCGGAGGAAGGCTGGAAAAAGGGGACAGAGTGATAAGAATAGAATAAAACATAGCGATACAAAGTGCAAGGTCACACACTTACATACTGAAGTGGGGAGTCCCACTCTCCCAGAGAGGACAAAAACAGAGAGGAGCCTCATCTCAACAGCTTATGATTACAGATGACCAATTTGGTGTGACCTTGATAACGCGATCTCAGGATATACCAGGCATGGCATTTCCAGCAAGATAGGATAGTATATATTCCACCGTATAAGACACATGGAGTAAAGGATGCTATTCTGGTCACCTACCTTCAAGGAAAAAAAGCTAGAAAAGAAAAACCAGGGTGATAATAGAAATTGTGAGCTTGCCTCTAATGATGGAAGATTTTGAGTTTGGCTAGTATGACTTAGCAATATAAATGTCAAGATGTGATGAGGGCAGGCCCTATAAATATATCAGGAAAACAAATATCAGAGAGGAGTTATTTTTAGCTGGAAAATATTTTGGCAAAAGAACAGATAGGTATAAACCAGCAATAAATAATTACAGTCTATAATTTAGGAGGTCTGTAACAATCAGAGAGAGGCTACTAAGAGGAGGAAGAGGAGACTGGCAGGTATCTAAGTGACTTTGATGTGGTTACCTGCAGTACAATTGGATCCCCTAGCCAGAAAGCCCCTTCTTATCCTGTATTTCTAAGGTGTAGTGCAGCGTAATTCCTAAATGTTAATTATACAAGTATCAACAGCAGTTGGCACTTAATCAACAATATTTATTAGTAGGTAGTAGAGTGACTGGTTGCTTTTTGGATACACTGTGACTGGATAAAGCCTTAAGGACAGTTGTATCTCTTCTTCAGAAGACTCCAAAGGAATAGCATGTCTGATCAGGCTTGGTTTTCAGATAACGTTTTGCCTGATCCCTGTTCATTTGCATTGCATCAATATAATTAATCCAGTCTAACCTGTTCTAGTTCGTGGCACTCCTGCGATGGTGAGATCAAAATCAGGTCCAACATCTCTGACCAGGTACACCATTTGTTAGTACCATAATTTAAAGGTTTTAAACATCTTGTGGCAGAACTGCAGCATAACTGCTATAAAGCTTCATGTATGTACAACGTGATTCCTGGATAGAGATCACTTCAGCTCCATAGTTATTAATTCACAGGTTTCTCGCTGACCTTAGCTCAGCTCTGGGAGCCGTGCCAGAACAATTACAGTAACTCTGAGCAGCGCAGGCATAAAGCTCCTGTATTTACTCTGAAATTGTGCCAGGTTTTCTCTGGCTCAGTGATGGAAAGATGCATTTCTTCTTTGATTAGTTTCAAATAGTTCAGCCTGGGTTGGCTATAACAACGTTATTTCATCAAAAAAACGGAGGAGAAATAAGCTACCATGCAGAGGCGTGCATACACTATGTACTAGCTGTGTAGATAACATTAAGGAAATGCAAGCTAAGAAGGGGGAAAGCAAGTCAAGGTGACTTGTTATCCAGAAAGTAAGTGACAAAGTTGGGAATGAAATTCAAGGGGAATATACTTCACTTGGTGTTGTTTTCACTGATCGTGCTGTCTTTGTGGAGCACGCTGAGGCCCACCTCCTTCCTTCCTACTAAGGTAGGGCAGCTGGAAGGCAGTGACACCAGGTGAAGCTGAGCATGCTCATCACTTGGGACCCCTGGTGATTTTCTCTGACGTTAATTGACTGTCAGACCTTGCAAGAGGAGAGGGAACACATTTCCTGATCTGTGGTTTAAGGTAGTGTTTTCCAGACTCTGGTGTGAATTTCATTTTGTTGCAAAGGAAATGATGATGCAATCCTCCAGCAGCTGCTGTGCTCCAGCATCCTTGCAAAGGTACAGTACATATTTTGTGGGTATATGTATGTATGCAAGCTGCATATTCAAAACCCCCATTTCTCCTAACAGCAGGCAGGCCTTCAGGTCTCCCCTCCAGACCCACCTTCCTATCCCCAAAAGAAATACTACTAGGGGTTGCTCCCAGCAAAACTGAAGCGATCATCCTGAAAGCGAGCTCCTGAAAAATCAAGCTTTTAAGTGAGACTGCCGTGGGTGTGATCTCATTTTCCTACGTGCCAGATCTATGAGTCCTGTACCTAAAGTATGGAAAGGTTCCTCATAACTGCAAGTGAAATGGCAAGAGTAATGTTCTGAATGAGTATATTGTGATGAGTCTGAAAGATCAGGGAACGCGTGTCTTTGAATAGGTAAATCTAATTGATGAACACGAGTCTGATGATGGAATTAACCTGGTTTAATTAATTACTCCCTCTTGGCGGAGCTGCGAAAACTGACTGTACTGTGCTTCAGTCTTTTAGTTTTTAAAATCAATCACATTAAGGGAAAGTAAACAAGTTTGGTTTGGAGAATGGAAGAAGGGCTGTTATGTGCTTAGTTTATGTGGGTCTGCAGATGCCCAGTGAGCTGTTGAGCTCCAGAAAGGAATGAATCCTGTATGCTAGCCTGTCCATGCTGGGGGTGTATGTAGCAGCGATGGCTTCATGTCTTCATGCCCAAGCTCTTAGTTGAGCAGAAACAAACCATCTTGCCTAACATAGATGGGATGAAGATTTGCTTCAGGAAGCATATGGGAACTGTTGGGTCACAGCCTGAACCACTGATTGAGCACCTGGGGAAGACCCGGTCAGCCCTGGGAGCACAGGTGAAGGAAATTCAGCTGTGTGACCCCTCTTAGACCTCATTTAAGGGCTGACTGCCACTGGGGAAGGATCTCTGGTTGGGGATCTCTTCCTTGTGGAGTCTTTTCTGTAAGCCTAGCTCTTTGGGGGCTGGGTGAGCACCTTTACTTTTCCTTTGAAGTATGGTCTCACCCATGCTAGTCCCTTTGCTGTTACTCTTCTGTATTGCCCTTCCACCACCTTGATGTTTCCAGTTGTAACAGGAGGTCAGTGTGGTTCGCTTGGGGATGTCCCAGAAGACCCCAACCTCCTGAAATCACTGTGTTCTTTATTCATACCAGGGCTTGAACAGCGAAGAAGAACTGGGATGATGCTACATTGCTCTCCAACAGATGATGAGCAGGGTGAGCACAGCATGTTGCTGGGGAGCCAACAGCGCAAGTTCTGCTCTCACTGCTAACAAAGCCGTATCGCCTCTGCCTCAAACTGTTTCCTGCGCAGCTCCCCACTTGCCCTGCAGCCATCCCCAGGGCTCCGTTCAGCCAGGATCCCTCGCTCCAGGGAACACGCAGAGCTCTCCTCCCCTCAGCGCCCTTCGTGCCGCAGCCCGGGCACGGCGCGTTGCGGCGGGGCGGGGCGGCGGAGGAGGGAGGCCGGTGCTGCCCCGTGGCGGCGGCCGTTGCCGGGTAACCGGGGCCTCCTCGGCCGCAGGTGGGAGCCGGTCGGGGCCTGTGGCGCCCGGTTTCTGTTGCTGGGAGCCTCTCTTCGTGCCCCGGTCCCTCGCAGAGAGCAGCTGGTGGCGGCCCACGGCTCCTGAGTGTTTGTGGAGCCGTGGGCGCCGCGTTAGCGGGCGGTTGCCTGTCCTGAGCGATCCCACCTGCCCGTGTGGGCTGCTCGTGCACCCAGCCTGCACCGTCCTCGTGGAAAACTCTCCGTTGTTTCACCACGTGAATGCTGCTGTTCATCTCAGAGTTTTCCATCCCGATCAAAATTTTCTGGTGAGTATGAAAACGTATTAATCAAATGTATTTTTAACCTTTTACCCTGGTAACATAGCCTCAGCTAATTCTTAAAGCCCGTGAAATGACTACTGAGTAAATAATTGTTCACCAGGTATCTTATTTTTGCATATATGTAGATTCTTCTGTATCAGTCTTTCACACGCACATGTTTCCCTCTGGAAACTCTTCAGCTCTGCAAGGCTCTATTGCTGCTCTACAACTGCTTGAAAGGAGAGACTGTGGCCAGATGGGGGGCTCTTCTCCCAGGTAACGGCATAGGATGAGAGGGAATGGCCTCAAGCTGTGCCAGAGGAGGTTCAGGTTGGGTATTAGGGAACATTTCTTCTCCAAAAGAGTGGTGATGCAGCAGCACAGGCTGCCCAGGGAGGTGGTGCAGTCACCGTCCCTGGAGGTGTACAAGGAAAGGGTGGATGTGGCACTGAGAGCCACAGTGGGGTTGGGGGTTGGACTTGGCAAGCTTAGAATCTTTTCCAGCAGTTACAGTTCTGTGATTCTACATGTACTGTTACATCTTTGAGACCTATTGATCATGAACTTGTGTTGTTACAGCTGATGAAGAAGTACTTTCTAATTGTGGAATGCTCGGAGTCTGTGAAGGTTTCATTTGAAGGCTTTGTTCTCACTGTTTGTTTTCTCTTACAGGTTATGGAGGAATCAAACAAGAAATTGCACTGTGGACAAATGCGTCATTGAAGATAAATAGAAATGAATGACTAGTAAATGCAAATATCTATAGCAGAAGGATGGAAAGCAGAAAGGGCAGAACAGCAGCACAGCTGAAAGAAAAGGTAAAGTAATTGAAAAGGCACAACTGACTAAAATATTTCAGATCTCTATTTGATGTGGTTTGGTCCAATGTAAAGAATTTGTGTAAAGAACTTGAGTTAAAAAAATGCAGCATTCAGACATGTCAGAGCTCGGAGTTGCTGTCATTAATTGGCTTTTTACTATGCTTTTTCTGGCCTATACGTTCTCTCTCTTGGCTTTAGTACTGAGAACATGGGCAGGGAGATGCAGCTTCAGACAACGTATGACATTACTTGTGCAAAGCAGTATAAGAGCCATGGGTGCCCTGGGCTTCTCAGCTGGTTGCATAGTGTAGAGTGGGAACTTCTGTCTCTTCTGTCCTACTGTATTCCTAGAGCTCTTATCTCAGGAGATTTGATAAATGGATACATCCATCTACGGCAGTTTGTTAGTTCAGTCGTGTGCTACTGTCAATGGAAGAGAAAACATCAGGCTCTGTCTGTGGCCTGTGATGTCAGCAGCTTGCTTTACTTCAGCTCTAGGGACCTGGTTCTATGTGAAAACGGGGTTCAGGTGTGATATGAGACCGAATGTGAGTTAGCACCAAACTAGACTGGTTTCATCTTATTATTAGTGTCTGTGCATGCTTATTTAACTGAAGATCCTCAGGGTCATGGTAAAGGAAATGTGCTTACTTTCCAAGTTTGAAGTAGTACAAAACTTAATTCTGCTAAATAGTATCATTATTTAATGTATCACACATTTGGAATTGCCAGGTTCATTACCAATGTGAATAGTCTAATATTTACTTGGGATGAATTATGAATAAGTTATTTTTAAGCTGGAAAACTCATGAGCTTCTCACAGAAATGAATATGTAACTTTGCTTTGCTACTGAAATGGTGTTTGTATCCCTTCTGTAGATTCCTAAGCTGTGAGCACAACCTACTTTATATCAGTTGGACCACAAATACTTGCTGTAGTACAAACTAGAATGTCAGATTTGCTGTGATGGATGTAATAAAGGCTAATTTATCTGTATTTGAAGTAAAAGCTGGTTGATGCTGGCCATTCAAAAGCAGCATTATCTGATTTAAACAATAAAAATAAATTTGAAGAGCCTTCCTTCTTTCATTGCAGTATCTCACATAGTGAAGCATTTAAAATGTAACACTGTTTATCCTACAGCTTTTGCATTGTGAGTTTTCATTTAATTTTTTTAGTATTGAGTTCTAACATTACCTTGATTTCTCTTTTTTCATGTGACTAGCATAGGTAATGTTTGGGTGTGTTTTTGTTTTATTTTAGTAGAGAATCCATCCAAGTTCAAAGCAATGAACATGGGGGGGGGGGGGAAGGGGAAGTATATAGAATGAAGGGCTTTAAATAAATTATTGCTTCCTGGGAAAGACAAGCTGCTGTGGTAGTTCTCTGAAAATATCATCTCATTGCTGGTCAGAAAATGTTAAAACTCAAAAAAAAAAAAAAAAAAAAAAAAAAAAAAAAAAAAATTGAAAACAGTATAAATTCACTTACTTTCTCTGTGCCTGTATCTTGAATCTTATGTGCAGTTCTGACCGTCCTGGAAAGTAAATGTCAGAACTGAAATTGTTTCCATGAAATAGAACAAAGATGAGAAATGGAAAAGAGATAAAATAAAATGAGATTCTTCAGCTAAAAGAAGAGATGGGAAAGAGATGATGCAAAAAGAAAGGTATAAATTAATGAATGCTGTGGACGGATGGATGGATCGCCCATAATTGCATCTAACCATTTTCACCTCATTTATAATTTTAGCCTTCACAGCAGCCTATGGCAGTGACTTCTACAATTTAACCTAGTACCTTGCAAAAGCACATCTCCTTTCTAAAAACTGCTTCCTGATAATCCTTTTCTATTGGGTAACACCACTGCTTGTCTTAAGACATGACAAATAATTGATTCCTTATTTATCAACCGTGGCTGTCAAATATGACACGCCTTTTTCTCAGGATATTACTAAGTAACAGATTGCCAGAAATCAGGACAACCTGTCAGAGGAAGGATTGCTTTGAACTATTCTGTTTCTAATCCTGTTTTTTAAGCATCTGTTTTTGCCTGCAGTAGCGAGCTGGCCCTCTGCCTTGACCCAGCATGACAAGTTATTACACTACTAAATAGGTTGTGTTAAGTGATTTCATGAAGTTCTTTTCACTGTAAGTTGTCAGGTCTTGCTAAAATCTTGGGGGTGTTTGTTACTAAATAAGCTCCTGTGCACTGTTTGGTATTTTCCTATGAGTTAAACCAGAACTGGTCTATTTTTATTTATTATATATCCCATGTGAGCACCACTCTGGAAGTCAGGAACATCCCAGCACTGAAAATGACTTTTCAAATGGCTTTGCAGGCCGCAGAATCTCTTGGCTCAAATGGCTTAATTATCTAATAGAATGGTCTGAAAATTGTTTGGGGACAACAGAGCACTTTGGAACGCAGGAATGCTTTATGTGATGCGTTTTCATTCTGCGTAGAAGTTTGGATTTGAAAGAGTTCATAAATGTAGTGCAGCAGTAGTCCATTTCTTAGATGGAATCTAGGAACGCTTCTGAATGGTGGGTGCTAAAAATGCCTTGAAATAGAAAATGCTGAGCTTTTCTTTTCTGCAGCTTTAGGTTGTCACACAGTTCTGAGTCTGTGAGTTGGAACAGTCTGAGAATGAGCAGCAGTGTTGTAAGCTTGGTCCCTGGTACTGCATTAGTTTGTGCAGACAGACACTGGTGGATGCATCTCTGAGGTGTTTGTCACAGAAAACATAGCAGCACTGTGGTGTTTTTATTCTAACAAATAGCCTGCAAGGCCTTTGGATATACAGGGGAAAATGGAGAATGCGTTAGAGAAAAACCAGTGGGAGAGGATCAGCTGGTGTCTTGCTTTAAGGCCCAGACAAAGGTAGCAAGGCTAGTTTAGAAGCAGTGGTCATGTAAGGTGAGAAGGCTGGTTTGTTGTTTGGTTTTTTGTTTTTGGTGCACGTGTGTAACAGGAAAGGATAATTAGGGCAACTCCTAAAGCAAAAACTAAGTTTGCAGTGACGGGGTACTTCTATTTAATAGTGTTCCCTGTCTTTGCAGCCACTGACACCACCTTGTATATGATTTTTTAATTCAGTGAAATTTTATGTCTATACAGGGCATAAAAATTGATGCTTTAATCTTTTGCTGCTGCTAAGAGCTGATTTCAGGCTTTCTGTGCAACATGACTTCCAGCAGAATATGGTAGGATTGAGACAAATCAGTTGAGAAATGTTTATTCAATTGCTGACAAAAGCTTTATTTACCAAGAAGCTAACTTTACAATAATAAAAGAATGTGTCCGAAGACCTCACCCACTGGCCCTGACCCAGTGAGATTGTTCCTTGGGTGATGAATTTCTTATGAGACACTCAGATTTTGTTTATTCTTTTTTATTCCTTCCCCTAAAGTAGGGTTTCATCCTGCTTCTAACTTTTTGAATATACGTTGCAGGCTACACACAGTTGGCCTCGGGTAAATAAACATCCTAAGATGAGTGTCTCCTGAAGGTCGTTTTTCTTCCAACGTACTCAGACTTGAATACAGACTGGCTGAAGGATGTGCAGTGCTGTTCTAAGGCTCTGACAATTGGCTGGCTGCCTTTCTTCAGCCCAGCTCAGACAAAATATGCTGGGATTTGTATTTTTAAGTCGTCTTAGTCAAATCAAGAACTAATGAAGAAACAACTTGGGCAACTGGTACTTTGATATGAGCCCTTACCTATGGGCCTTGATGTTAACTAAACACTTACTAAACGAGATGTGGCTGGCAAAGAGCAGAAATCTTTAGCATGATTGTAGACCACATCTTTGGAGGTGTCACAATGAGGAAATACTTGTTTTGGGGTCCTCTTCAAAATGCCTATATTAATATTTTAAATGATATCAGTGGATGCTTCTAGTGTTCAAGGAAAGCTGTTCAAGAAAAAGGTAGATGTGGCTCTGAGGGACATGCTTAGCCAGCATGGTGGGGTGAGTTGATGGTTGGACTAGAGGATCTTGGTGGTCTTTTCTAACCTTAATGATTCTTTGATTCTATCTTGGATTAGCCAAGTGATGAACTTTGTACTTGTGTAGTCTTCCTGTTCACTATATGGAAAGTCATTTATGTGAATAAGTCTTTTCAGGATTAGAGCCTTAAAACTATGGTGCTGGGTTAAATTTTCCTTTCTGAGCTTAGAGAGCATGTAAGCACATGAATGGGTGCCTGTGACATGACGAGAGTTTATCTTATTAGGATTCTCAACTGCACACACTGATCTTAAAATACTACTGTCTTCACGAAACCTTGCTGGGTTTTATGTCCTCAGAGCATCATGGCTATATAACATGACTAGTATCTGCAGTTTAAAAAAAACTGTTGAATACTTACTTGTAATGTGAGAATGCAGGTCCTTTTAAGTGGTAGAAAAGTAAATGACCTGGCTGACATTTTAGAAAAAGTAATTGCTTGGGTTAATTGTCCTTTAAAGATTACAGAATATGCAGTAGATATTAGGACAACCAATGGAGTATTAAACATGAGATCAAATCTTAATTCATTCAGAGAGGATGTACTTACCTACACATTCTGTCTTCTGAAATAAAGAGAATACTGGAAGATCCAAAGAGAAGAATATTAAGTATTTTCTTACAGAAGACTTCATTAAGCTGGTGCTATAGTTTAAATTAATATCTATGCCTTGGGAATAGTTGGAAAGAATAATGTTACAGTTGAATACTTTTTATTTTAACAAAGCTGAGACTATAAGGGTGAGGACAGCTTAAAAATATATTTTCCCCCATCTTTGGCTCCAGAGATATCTGTTACATTTAAGGTAGTATCATAGGAGACCTTTGGGCAGCAGAGTCACAGGCACCCTGGAGTGTGTTTTCCTATAACTTCCATTGCTCATATAGTATTGTCACAACCTACTGCCTGTTTCTCTCGTTTTCTTCTCATTGTGGAGGAGGGTGAGGGCAGAAATCAGAAGGAAGCCTCCTGAGACATTTTCT